CTCAATGGACAGAACTACGGTTACAGTTTTTCCTGTTCTTTTCAGTCGAGTAACTACGTTTGTGCAGGCAGAGGAGACTGACGTGCGGCCGTTGCGGTTTATGATAATACATTTCCTGCGAACTGGTCAGTGGTTTTCTGCGGAATTTCTGTTGTCAGTGTCCATAAACAACAGCCAGCAAGGTTACATACGTGTCACTACGTGTGTTTATTTATTTATTATCTTTATTTTGGGCGGGTTTTGCCAACATTGAATATGATTAATTATTTGCGTCATACACCACGGACAAAATAACAAAGGAGAGGGTGCGGTTTGCGAGAAATTTTGTGAGTCGATTTCCGACTCTATTGCTTTATCGCGTGTGTTTGTTGATTCGTGATATCAAAATATTTTCATTCCTCTAGCGTGGAGTTTATACGAGATTAGATAGAAAAAAACATTTCAAGGTTATTTTCCTTCCTTCGTCTTATCTTAGAAGTTTATTTACTATGTCCCGTTCTTCAGAGTTTATCAAGTACTGATGTGTATGCTTTTGAAGTGATTTTTTTTATACGATCATAAGTGAGAGTACATGTTAGAGCAATATCTCCACTGAAAATGACCCATTTGTGAATATTTCGTTCGTCTGGTGTAATCTCCTTGACGTCCCTCCCAAAATGGATCCCAGCGCCTCATATATATCTACCGGCTTATTCCTCCTCCTCCAGGTGGCCGGGGAACGGCGAAGGAGGCGCAGCAAACACCGTCGATTCTCTTCTCCTCTTCAGCTATACTGCTCCTTCGTCTGGTTTTCTCTTACTCTTATTCGTGGCGTTGGTCGATTTCCAGCGTGGCGGCAGGTCTTCCCGATGGCTGATTTCCCAGACGAATGAGGTGTGCGTTTTCGTGGGTTTAACATGTAATTTACTTCCTCGGCAAATACAGAGGCGTTCAAGATGCAGAGTGCGTGAGTTAAACACGAACACTGTGTGTGTGTAGTACTGGATCTTTTGTGGAGTTCTTTATGGTGGTACAGTCTCACTCGAAGGTATTCTCTAATGTGAATGTGTATTATATGGTATTAATAGTACTCATTTAAAACACTGACTTAAATTCTTAAACTAATTCTAAAATCACATATGTAAAAATATATATATGTATATCTTCTCTCTCTTTGGTTCTACAACCTTTAAAAAACTGACTAGGAACCGCTGATGATCAGCTAAGAGGGAAAGTACTGTCCTACAATACACGTGTTAACATAGATCACTCACACGGCAGTTCTTCTGGTGATGATCCTGTGTCCTCGCTCACACCGCCACCGTCCAGCCTCAGATGCAGTTTTTTTCGGGCCGACACACTACACGGTGCAATGCAAGTATTCTAGTCCTTGCTGAGAATTCGGTTGGGTTTGTTGCCTTGGAGATCCGTGCATGCATGAAATGTGGTTTTCGCCAAACAAAAAGTCACTTATATGATTTCTCTGTGCTTGATGTATCGTTTGTTCTCAGACACAGTTCCTGTCATGTACACCATCCTCCGTTAACAATGAATGAGCATATGTATTCAGCAGCTTGTTCAAAGAGCTTTTAAAGCTTCCCCATTCGTTACCATGAATAAAGGCTGTGTTGATATCGGTGCTTCACAGTTCATTTATGACCAATTCTTGAGTCTCCAAAGTTTGGCGTCAAGCACTCCAGTGACGTGAAAATATCAGCTATAACACATTCACTAAGCGGAGGCAAAGATGCTTCTCGGCTTCCCTCAGACACGCCTCGGCTGTCTCAGAGGACTCGGAATATATTTGCTTGTGGCGTGAGTATTCTACGAGCAGAACACCGAGTGCACAACATTCAGATTCTTGAAGACAAACCACTTATAGTTCTCAAAGATATGGTGTAACAACAGTGGAACATATAAAAAGTCCTTATCTATTTAGTAGTATTACAATTATAAGACGAAATTCAACTACAGTATATCTAAACTGAGCCTTTGGCTCTATGGCATTAGGAAAGTCTATCACAAAACACTTATGTGAGACATGAACACAAATCTGTTTCTTAAGAAATAATTTCAAAGTCTACGAGTATTTGAACACTAAGTCACAACATAGGTATCAACGTCATTTACTGTAAAACATTTCAGATCTACAAATGCTTATCTTTGTAGGGTGTAAACACGGTCACTTCAGTTGATAAACAGATCTAAGAGGAAGTGATAAACATCCACACAAATCGACGAAGATATACACCTGAGCTCCACTTTCAAACAAAAAAACACAGTATATATTAAACTTTCCGACCAATTTCGAAGTAAACGCGAGTCTTTCCGTCGAAAAAACCGTCTCTTTGGTGCACTACAGAGAGACTGAAGAACGTCTGTCAGCCAGCCTCGAGCAGCACCACGAGAAGTGACATGGTTTCGCGAAGGACACTAGTCAGGCGAGGACGACGGCGAGAGGAGACAGGGGCAGAGCGGCCGCACGAGTCGCCTCCGACATGTCCACACGTTGACTGGAGAT